GGTCTACGATTTGGGTCTACAAGTTGGGTGGACAAGTCGGGTCAACAACTTGGGTCAACGAGCTGGGTCAACAGGTTGAGTCCCTAAGTTGGGTCTCCAAGTTGGGTCAATTAGTTGGGTGGACAAGCTGGGTCAACAACTTGGGTCAACAAGCTGGGTGAACAGGTTGAGTCCCTAAGTTGGGTCAATGAATTTGGTCTCCAAGTTGGGTCAACAAGTTGGGGCTCCAAGTTGGGGCTCCACGTTGGGGCGCCAAGTTGGGGCTCCAAGTTGGGTCAACGAGCTGGGTCAATGAGTTGGGTGGAAAACTCAGGTCAACAACTTGGGTCAACAACTTGGGTCAACAAGCTGGGTGAACAGGTTGAGTCCCTAAGTTGGGTCAATGAATTTGGTCTCCAAGTTGGGTCTCCAAGTTGGGTCATCGAGGAGTTGGGTCAAGGAGTTGGGTCAAGGAGTTGGGTCAAGGAGTTGGGTCAAGGAGTTGGGTCAAGGAGTTGGGTCAAGGAGTTGGGTCAAGGAGTTGGGTCAAGGAGTTGGGTCAAGGAGTTGGGTCAAGGAGTTGGGTCAAGGAGTTGGGTCAAGGAGTTGGGTCAAGGAGGTGGGTGGACAAGTCGGGTCAACAACTTGGGTCAACAAGCTGGGTCAACAGGTTGAGTCCCTAAGTTGGGTCAATGAGCTGGGATTCCAAATTGGGTCTCCAAGTTGGGTCAACAAGTTGGGTCAATGAGTTGGGATTCCAAGTTGGGTCTCCAAGTTGGGTCAACGAGTTGGGTCAATGAGTTGGGTCAACGAGTTGGGTCAATGAGTTGGGTCAACGAGTTGGGCAGAAAAGTCAGGTCAACAGCTTGGGTCAACAAGCTGGGTTAACAGGCTGAGTCCCTGAGTTGGGTCTCCAAGTTGGGTCAACGAGTTGGGTGGACAAGTCAGGTCAACAATTTGGGTCAACAAGCTGGGTCAACAGGTTGAGTCCCTAAGTTGGGTCTCCAAGTTGGGTCAACAAGCTGGGTCAGCAAGTTGGGTTTCCAAGTTGGGTCTCCAAGTTGGGTCACCAAGTTGGGTCAACAAGCTGGGTCTCCAAGTTGGGTCAACAAGTTGGGTCCCACTCCCCACCCTAACTCTTGCCCCATGGCTCTGCAGTTACAGGGGATCAAAGAAGGATGAGCTCTTCCCTACAGGCAAGAATCACTCGGTTCCTCCATGGGTGAAAATCAGATTTAGTGTTTTCTAATCACCCAAATGTACAAAATAAGGTGTTGCTCCTCTCAGGCCCCTGCTGAAATGTAGCCCTCATACTTCAAATGTGAGATGGTGCTGTTCTGCTGGGGACAGGGAGTGCTGAGCAGCATTCATTCACACTTTTCGGGTCAGAACCTTCCCATTCTCTGTATTTTGGCTATGGGAGTTTGCTGAAGCAGCCATCCTGCCATGGGGTCTATGCTTTAGACACTGGATTTCCATTAAAAATCAGAAAACACCCACAAAACCCACCCTCAGTTTCTTCTGAGGTATTCTGCTGCCCAGACTGGATTTTCCCTGAACTGCCAGACAGCCTGAACCTCTCGTTTGAAGAAAGGAGATAAAGTTTTCAGTCCTCCCAACATCTCAGGAGGGGTTTTCAAGTGCTGGACACCTTCTCAACACTGTTGGAAATCTCACCCTTTTGGGATTCTTTTGTTAAAATATCCCCTTGCTGACTATCAAACCAATGACAGCATTTATTCCTCTATCCCAAACTTTTCTCAGGTCTTTTTAGCAGCAAAATTCCTCAGTAACAGGAAATTTACAGCTCCAGATGGGCTGTTCTGGGTGACCAAAAAATACCCCACCGACTGCTGTCTCTATTTTTGTACTTAATTAAATATAAATCTCTCTTTTTTTTCCCCAACACTCACCCACATCCCCCCAGTAACTTTCCATAACAGTTGTCCTCCCTTTACAAGCAGAGGTGCAGCAGCGTCCTTCACCTCTTTAATTCCAGCAGATGATCATGGCACAGATAAAGCAAAAGGATTCACTGGGATCTGAAGGGTGGTTTGAAAAATTCAGTGGCTCCCTGAAACATTCAGTGGCTCCCTGAAATATTCAGTGGCTCCCTGAAATATTCAGTGGCTCCCTGAAATATTCAGTGGCTATCTGAAACACCACCAATAACCTGGGGAGGACAATTTTGTGTTCTGAAGAAGCAACCACTTTTCCCTTGGCTGCTCAGAGACACCTCGTGACCAAAAAGACACTGGGGATCTGAAGGGGGTTGTCTCTGCTGGTCTCTTCTGGTGGGTTTTGTGTTAGGAGGAGAGGTCCACCTACCTGAAGAACGTGTGGTGCTCAACACACACCTTCCACAAGCGTTTTGCAGCTCGGTGATTTGGCAACTTAAACCCAATAGTGCTTTCAAACTGCTCAAACTGGGGAGGGAAAAAGAAAGAAGCATCTGTCTGAGGCTGTGTGTTCCATTTTAGATGGTCTAAAGAGGTTCATCTTCCTTCTCCTGTATCAGCTCACTGCACTTGTGTAAGCACAGACCCACCTGTTCTACAGGAGGGAGCTGGGAGTGTCCACCACAGACTGGGTTGGGTTGGAAGGGACCTTTCAAGGTCATCTTGTTCCAATCCCTGGCCATGGGCAGGGACACCTCCCACTGCATCAGACTGCTCAAGGCCCCATCCATCCTGGCTTTGAACCCCTCCAGTGGTGGAGCATCCACAGCTTCCCTGGGTAACCAGTTTCAGCCTCTCACCACCCTCAACGTGAAGAACTTCTTCCTAATTTCTAATCTAAATCTCTCTTCTTTTAATTTGAACCCATTACCTCCCATCCCATCACTACAAGCCCTTGTAAAAAGTCCTTCCCCAGCTCTCTGCTGTGATTTGCCACCAATCAATCACATGGATCATCAAATGGGATTTGGGAAGAGACTGTGCTGATGATTCTGCCTAAGGAGCTATGACCTGGTCACAGGGTCAGCCCAGCAGAGCTCACCTGGGCTTCAGAGGTGGGGAGCTTGAGGGCAGGCACTGGGGACATCAGGGGGCAGTTTGTCTCTTTATTGTTTTAAAAAATCAAACTCCAGACTGGGAAGCTGGTTACTAAAACTGTGCCTGCTGAGAGGCAGGTTTGTGGATTTTGGTTTAGGGCTCTAAAAAAAAAAGGCTCAGGCCCTCTGGGGTTGGGTGGGAAGCCCCAGGAGATGTCCCAGGTCACTGGTGAAGTCAGTGCTGGAGATGTTGGCTCAGGACTCCCAGCTGCCACAGGGCATCAACCCAGAAAATCCTCAACCCAGCTGATTTCTGTCCTGCCACACAGCTCCAGCTTCTAAAGTGGTTATGGGTTTGCCCATCCCAGACCCATTACTGCACCAGCACTTAAAAGGGAGACACTTCCTCACTTGGGGGGGATCCTCCTGGGATTTCTCCCAAGATTGATCAGTTGTCTGGCCCCTGGGTTAGTGCAGCTGAAGCCCTGAGGTAGGGATGTGCCACGAGAGGGCACTCACTGAACGAGACTGCCCATTGCCTTCTCCAGAGCCAGGCCCGGAGCTCCTGCAGGGCTCCTGCCCCCTGGGGGGACCACAAATGCTCAATGATGGATTCTTGACTCCACCCTTGGATTTCTGCTCTGACTCCAGCTAGTCTGGCAGGCTTGTAAAATGGGGTTATGGGCTGTCTGCATCTCTTGGTGGCTAAGATGGATGGACACTGATTTAATATACAACCTGATGGTGGCTAATGAGAGCTCTGTGACTTCAAACCCCAAAGTTTGGATAATAGGGCTGAGCTTGCCACGTGCAGATGGCCATATTTATTCTTTATCTTGACACAGAAAAAGATTCTACCCCATATTATAAATATTCACCTCATCTTCCCTAAGAAAATCAGCACAAATTCATGTAAATGGAGATAGAAAGGGATAAAAATGGAGAGGAAAGTTAAAGGCTTGTGAGACACGACAACAAATCCATGAGAGCACAGATCTTTTGAAAAGGTTCATTCACTGAGGAGTGCCAGGGTGCCCTTACCTCCCCTGGTCGGATTTTGATGTAGAAATTGTTCCTCTTGTAGGAAATTTTCAAAACCTTTGGCCAGGCAAATCTGTTTATTCTCAGCCTGTCTCGATATATCAAGAGACCGCTCGCACAAACTCCCAGCATGATTTCCACTCCTTCAGAATCCTGGGGAAAACAAAAATAAACAATAAGCCAGGCACTTGGGTGAGTGTTTCCCTGCAGTTTGAGAGGTTCTTGTGCCTGGTGTTTCCATCTGAGCAATGTCTTTTTAATGCACCAGCTGTAGTGACCTGGTTTCTGAGCCACCCCCTCCCTCCCTGCGCCCGGCAAGGTCGGGCAGGCTGAAAGAAACTGAGGGTTGTGTTCCCTTAGAGCTCACAAAAAGGTGGGGGGAAAGTTTAGACCTTATTAAAAGGAGAGTATCAGCCACGTAGCACAAATTTTGTTACAACAACCACAAGAAGTGTTACCAGCATAGACCCCAGACTGAAAGGAAGTAGGGCAGCACCTAAATTTCCTCCTCCCAGCGTCACTCAGCTCCATGACTAACCCTCCTGAGTCCTCAGGCAGATTTTTGTCTGTAGTTTCTCTTGTTTTTAGCTGGTTTGCTCTCTTTTGTAAAGCTGTTGTGCCCATGCTCACTGTTTCCCCTTGGAAACGACCCTCAGAAGCTGGGACACTGGAGCAGAAAGGCTGTTTGAGAAGTGCCTGTGCCACCACCCGTGTTTGACAGGGAAGCTGTGGGTCAGACAGGTCAGTGCTGCAAAAGATTTGGCCAGAATCCTACCAGAACATACCCAGAAATATGTTTGATTCAGTACAAGGGATGGGCTCCTCCTTTACAAGCCTTCAAATAGTCTAAACCAAACCTACAGAAATTCTTCCAAGTACTAATACAGCCAGAGGAAAGAAGAATCCACCCTAAAGCATGGAAGTTCTTTGATAACTATTTTAAAATAACTTAAAGCTATGAAAGTCTGACAACAGAATCTAAGAAGATGTCACCCTACAATAAGCATGAAAAGAATTCATTGTTCTCCTCTGTTTTTCCCAACAGGCCAACTTTTGGGCACACAGTGATTGGATCTTGAGATGAACACAAGGGCAGGATGAAAAGCCTATGGCACAGCTTGAAATTCCCCCCAAATTGCTTTAAGATCAGAGGCACAACATAGACTTAGTGCCAGAGTGTCAGAAAACACACCAACAGAGGATGTGTGTTCCAGCAGTGATGGTGCCACCACCTAAAGGTAGATTTTTGGTGCAGTCCCCACCCCTGGAGGGGTTTCCAAGCCGTGGAGATGTGGGGTGAGGGACACGGGGCAGTGGGGACCTGGCAGGGCTGGGGGAAGGGTTGGATCTGATGATCTGAAAGGTCTCTTCCAACCAGAACAATTTGATTCAACTCAATCCAATTCTATTCTGCTCTGTGAGAGACTGAAATGAAACCTGGGTAGAAGACCTGGGCTTCTTCCAGGAGCCATGTGGTTACACAGGCAGCAATCTGCCTGCTGCAATGTCTGAGGCACGAGATGTGGAGCAGCTGAATGGGGGTCTCCAGCAGAGCAGTGACATCCCAGGGGACACATCTGCCTGTCTGAACCCAAATTCAGAGGCCAACAAGCTTGAGGAGCAGCTGGTGAGCCCAGCATCTGCTGAACACCTGGCACAGCCCTACCAAACTGATGGTCACAAAGGGACATCTGCCAGGGTGTGACTTCAGAGAGCCATCCCCAGGGCTGCTCCTCCACCAGACCTCACTGGCAGACCCCAAACTGGACATCCCTGGTCATGCAGAGTTGACTTTTCCCACCTTCAGCTCAGTTGCCAAGACTGCTGAAGTTCCAAGCTTCTGAAGCCACAGGAAGACCCAACGTGGCTCCTGCTGGAGCTCTGGGACACTGAGAACATCACTGCAGAGGGAGGTGGGTTTGTCTACCAGCTTCTATTGCTCTAGGGTTCTTTCCACATGAAAACCAGAAGAGTGAAACTGGAGATGAATGGTGTTGAGGAAAAAAAAGTAGAATGGCCACCTCAGGCTCCAAGGAGACCTTCTGGTCGCCTTCCAATAATTTGAAGGGGCTTAGAAGAAAGATGGGGACAAACATTTAGCAGGGACAGGACAAGGGGGGATGATCTGAGACTACAAGAGGGAGATTTAGGCTGGAGAGAAGGAAGAAATTGTTGATGCTGAGGGTGGTGAGATGCTGTCCCAGGCTGCCCAGAGAGGTGGTCACTGCCCCATCCCTGGAACCATCCCAGGGGAGGTTGGTGGGGCTCTGAGCACCCTGCTCTAGCTGCAGGGGAGTTGGCTCAGATGACCTTGAAAGGTCCCTTCCAACCCAAAGACAGGGTGGCAGTGGCACCTCCTGCTCCAGCAGTGCCCCTTCAGCCACAGCCAGATCTCTCCTCTCCAGCAGGAGACAAAAGGTGGCCTTGACTTCCCTAACACGTGCACAGCTCCTGCAGAATGCCCCAGGGACAGGGCTGCAGGAGCTTTCCACAGCCAAGCTGCAGATTCATCTCAGCTCCTGAAAGGATCTGTGGAGCACAAGAACAGGCTCACAGTTCTTTGACCTCTAAGAAAATGCAGCACTCTCCCCCAGCTCAGGAGTCTTCTGTTCAGCACTCACTGGCCAAGGAGGCTTGTTAGCCACAAAGACATTAACATCCATTTGCCTTGCTTGGAAGAGTGAAGAAAAATATAGTAATTATTTAGGAAAAGACCCACCAAAAAGCAGGCAACCAACACAAAGCTGGTAGGTGGCTGTCCCAGATCACAAGAAGAATGTCCATGTTTTATTCCTAACCTGCTGATGACCAGAGAAAGGATCTCACCATGGGAGAAGGTTGCCAGCAGAATTATTGCCCTTCCAGCCAACGACCACACTTCAGGAGCAAAGACCAGTTGGTCTCTTCTCCATTACTCTCAATTTAATTAAGGTTTTCAGCACAGCTAAATGATTGCTTGGAAGTTCTCTGTGGTGTTCCAGCTGATCTGTTTATCCAGTTAAGATCCCATAGTTGGCTTTATTAAATTGGGAAATGCAGCTGAAGGAAATGACCACTCTCCAGACAGCTCCCAACACCCTTCCCCAACACTCTGTCCATTCAACACCTTCCCCAAGGATTTCATGGTTCCATCAGCATGAAGGGTTGATGTGGACACGTGGTTTATCCCACCAGATGCCTGCCTCAGAAGAAGAATGGATGAACTGAGGACTTCATGCAGACCCCAGGACTCTGCAGCAGGAGGAAGGTGACCAGTGAGAGATGCAGAGCAGGTACCTTGGCGTGGTGGAGATCCACTCCATACATGGAGAGTTTTTTGGCATTCTCCAGGAAATGCATCTCAGCCTCTGCAGGTGTCATTCCCCTGAGGAAGAGAAACCAGTTCTAGGGTCAGTGTTAAGGGAAGAGAAGCCAAAATACAGTCCAGGAGCTGGAGAACAGTTGCAGCCTGTCAGAGCTACAGCCACACCTCTCAGGTAGGTGGGCACCAACCCAAGCTCTGACATGGTTATACCAGGTCCAGGGAGGTTCTCCTGCCCCTCTGCTCTGCCCTGGTGAGGCCACCTCTGGAGTACTGGGTCCAGTTCTGGGCTCCCCAGGTCAAGAGAGACCAGGAGCTACTGGAGAGAGTCCAGTGGAGGCTGTGGAGATGCTGAGGGGCTGGAGCATCTCTGTGCCAGGACAGGCTGAGAGCCCTGGGGCTGCTGAGCTGGAGA